GGCCCGGGGGGGACAGGAGGAGCTGCTCGGCCGCCCCCGGCTCTGGCTCGGAGCGCTGGGTGGGCTGCGGGTCGGGGGGAGAGAAGCCTGTGGACCCCTCCTCGGCCACCGGCTCCGGCTCCTCCGGCCGCGGGGGGCTGCCGGGGGCCCGGGGGGGACAGGAGGAGCTGCTCGGCCGCCCCCGGCTCTGGCTCGGAGCGCTGGGTGGGCTGCGGGTCGGGGGGAGAGAAGCCTGTGGACCCCTCCTCGGCCACCGGCTCCGGCTCCTCCGGCCGCTCCTTGCTGGCCCACAGCAGCGCCTCGGTGGCCGTGGGGGAAGGGGACGGTGAGGGGACATCCCAGGCCGGGGGGGACGCGGCTGGTTCGCTGCTGGGCTCGGCCGCGCCGTTCCCAACATCCCTGAACTCCTCCGGCTGCTCCGGGCTGGGCTCGGCCGCCCCGTGGGGAGCCGTGGGGCCGGAGCGGCCCCGGGGCCCGGGAGAAGCCCCCTCGGTGTGGCCGGGGGTGGCAGGGTGTCCCTCGGAGGGGCCTTCTGGCTGCAGGAATGTCACCTCCTTCCTCTGCCTCTCCAGCGCGCCGTCCCCCGGGGCCCCGCTGCCGTCCCCGCGGGGCTGCGGGGACAGCTCGGGACCCTCGGCCACCAGCGGGGCGGGGGGCAGCGGGGGCAGCGGGGGCACGGAGCCACCGCCCTCCTGGGACGGAGTGTCCCCGGAGAAGCCCTCGGTGGCATCCTCGGGTGGCCTCGGGGAGTCCCCGCGGGCGCTGGTGATGTCCCGGTGGCCCCGAGCGTCGCGGGGAGTGGCGGGGGACGGGGACGGCACGGGGGGGGTCCCCGCGGGGATCTCTGAATCCCTCGGGGCCGGCGAGAGAGACACCGGCTCGGTGACCGGGGCCACGAGCTCTGCAAGAGATGGCACCGCCATGGGGTCACCGAGAGGTGACCGCGCTGGGACCCCTGGCCGTGGCCGGTGTCACTCACCGGGGCTGATGTCACCGGGGCTGATGTCCTCGTCCAGCGCGTTGGGGGACGCGTGGGGACCCTCGCTGCCGGCTCGGGGGGGGCTCCACAGCTCCACGGCGTTGGCCGCGGCTCCCTTCAGCTCCTGCGCCAGCACGGGGTCCTGGGTGACAACCCCCGCTGTCACCGCGGGGTCTCCAGACTCCGTGGTGTCCCCGGCTGCCACCGCGGGGTCCCGGCTGTGCCGCTGAAGCTGGAAGTGGCGCCCGTTGAGCCCGGGGTAGCTCCGCCTCGGGGGGCTGGGGGTCTCCGGGGGCGCGCTGGGGGTCTCCGGGGACATCCCCAGCCCAGGCGGTGACAAGGACGAGCCGGCGCTGTGCTCCAGGGCTGGCCTTTGGGGAGGTGACCGGGGGGTGGCCGGGGGTCCCTCAGGGTCTCCGGGGTCCGGGCTGGCGCTGGGAGGATCCCGCCGGGAGCTCTCGGCATCCACCGCGTTCAGAGCCTCCTCCTCGTGCGGCCACGCCAGCGAGGTGGCCGCGGTGGCCGGCGGGGATGTCCCACTGCCCGTCCCCAGCCCCGGAGCCACCGGTGCCGGTGGCAGGGCAGTGCCCGGGAGGTCCCCGCGCTGTGCCACCGGGCTGCCGCTGGCCGGCCGCAGCTGCTCGTCCTCATCCTCATCCTCGCCCAGCCCCGCGGGCCCCGGCGGGGGCAGCAGGTCGTAGCGATCGCGGGGGATGTCGCGGGTGTCCCCCGATGTGCCCGGGTCCTCGCTGTGCTCCACCAGCACGTTGTCGCTGCCCGGCGGGTCGGGCGTGGGTGGCACCGGCAGCACCGGCTGCTCCGTGTCCCCGTGCCCCGCGGCTGTGGGGACAGCACGAGCGTCAGCGGCGGCACCGAGGGCACCCTGGGGTCCCGTAGCCCCCCTGGCGTGCCAGCACCGAGCACCGCCTCCCCCTCCCCGCACCCGGGCGGAGCTGAGCTCCCTCCCAGGGCTGCTCCCCTAATTTATCTCATTAATTCCCTAATTAATTATTCATCCGCAGCAATTTTCCCGGCCGCGCCCACCGATCCCCGCGGGAAGGAGGGAGCTGCGGGGGGGTCCGGGGGGCAGCTCGGGGGGTGCCCCTCACCTTTATAGCAGTAAGCGTCGAATTTGGAGGCTGCGGGGGGGAAGCCGGTGCGGTTTGGGAACTGGTAGAGGGTCCGCACCCCCGGGGCCTCGCCCCCGCACTTCCTGCGCGGCTGCCGGATGGGATAGCGCACGCTGCCATCGGCCAGCCAGCCCGGGTCGCACTGGTCCAGCCCCTGTCGCCACGCCAGGTAGAGCTGGCCCGTGGTGGCCAGCGATGCCCCGCGGCTCCGGCAGTGCCTGCGGGCGCCCTGCCAGGTGAAGCGGCCGGGCACCGTGGCGTAGAACACGGTCCCTGCGGGAGAGGGGAGATGTTGGGGACACGGCGACAGGGAGGGATGGCTCGGAGGGGAGAAGGGATTTTGGGATGTCCTCGTCGCCTGAGCGCTGTGGCCACGCTCGGTGGCGGTGCCAAGGGTGGCACGGAGAGCTGGCGCCCAGCCGGAGAGGGAGGCACTGAGGTGTGGCTGTGGAGGGACATCGTGGGCACCCGGCCGTGCCATGGCCGGGAAGGGACATCGTGGGCACCCAAAGGGACATTCCTGGGCACCCAGCCGCGCCATAGCCACAGAGGGATATTTCTGGGCACCCAGCTGTGCCATGGCTGGGAAGGGACATCCCTGGGCACCCAGCCACACAATGGCCACAGAGGGACATTCCTGGGCACCCAGCCGTGCCATAGCCGGGAAGGGACATCCCTGGGCATCTAGCCAGCCACACTGTGACCACGGAGGGACAACGTGGGCACCCAGCCATGCCATGGCCGGGGAAGGACACCCTGGGCACCCAGCCGTGCTCCTGGCCATGCCATGGGCACACAGGGACCCCCTGGGCACACAGTCGGGGTGGCCCGGGGCAGCCCTGCTCCTGGCCGTGCCATGGGCACACACGGACCCCCGGGCACCATCCCGGCCCTCAGTCCTTGCCTCGCAGCTCCCGGGAGTAGCAGTAGACGTCGTAGAGCTCGGCGGGCTCCCTGCGGCCGTAGCTGCGCACGCCGGGGAGGCTCTCGCGGTCTCCGTAGCAGCCGGGCCGGGACAGGGTGATGGGGTACCTGCCGGGAGGAGCACGGTGGGCGCTGGGCTCCGCGGGGAGGGGTGCCCGGCGCTGCCCGGGGGTTCTCGGGGGTTCCCAGGGGTCCCCTGGGATGACCCGGGGGTGCCCGGGGCTGCCCGGGGCGGCTCGGGGTGGCCCGGGGGTGACCCGGGAGTGGCCTGGGGGTGACCCGGGGCTGCCTGGGGTGGCCCGGGGATTCCCAGGGGTTCCATGGGATGGCCCGGGACTGCCCGGGATGGCTGAGGGTGGCCCGGAGCTGCCGCAGGTGACCCGGGGGTGGCCAGGGAGTGGCCCGGGGGTGGCTTTGGGGGGTGGCCCGCCCCGCGCACTCACCGCACGCTCTGGTCGCTGAGCCAGCCCGCGTCGCAGTTGTCGTAGCCGTCCTCGAAGGCGGCCTGGAGGTGCTGGGGGGAGGCGATGACGGCGGAGTTGTCGCGGCAGGCGCGGCGGGCGGCGGGGAAGCTCAGCGCGTAGCGCTCGCCCGCGGGCCGGTAGTGGAACACAACGCCTGGGGACACGGGACACGGGACATGGGGCAGCAGGGCACGGCTGCGGGGCAAGCAGGGCTTGTGTGGGGTCCGGGGGGCGCAGGGCTGGCACGGACTGCGGGGTTGGCACGGGATATAGAGCTGGCACGGGATGTAGGCCTCAGACAGCTTTAGAGATTCCGCAGGGCTCGTGGGGTGCAGAATTGGCACACGGTGCCACAATGGGGGTGGGATGCAGGACTGGCACGGGGTCTGTGCAGGGCTGGCACGGGGTGCAGGACTGGCACGGGATGCAGGATTAGCACGGGGTGCAGGACTGGCATGGGGTGCGGAGCTGGCAAGGGGTGCAGGATTGGCACGGGATGCAGGATTGGCACGGGGTGCAGGACTGGCACGGGATTTCAGGCTCACGGGGTACCCAACTGCCATGGGGCACTTGAGACACGGCTTGTAGGGTGCAGGGGGTACACGGGCGCACAGCTGCCATGGGGGGGCACAGGGACCTGGAGTGTACAAATCCTGTGGGGTGCAGGGAATAAATGGGGTGCACAGCTCTCTCTTAACGGGGTTAAGGAATAAATGGGGTGCACAGATCTCATGGGGTGCAAGGAACAAACGGAGTCCACAGCTCTCATGGGGTGCAGGGAACAAGTGGGGTGCACAGCTCTCTCTTAATGGGGTTAAGGAATAAATGGGGTGCACAGCTCTCTCTTAACGGGGTTAAGGAATAAATGGGGTGCACAGCTCTCTCTTAATGGGGTTAAGGAGTAAATGGTGTTCACAGCTCTCAGTGGGGTTAAGGAATAAATGGAGTTCACAGCTCTCACGGCGTGCCCAGCTCACCCTGCGTGCCCAGCTCACCCACCTTCCCTCAGCCCCAGGGAACCCCCAGCGCCCCCCTGGCCGTGCCCACGCCGTGCCCGCGGCCGTGCCCGGCTCACCCGTCACCTCCAGCGGCAGCAGGTCCTGCTCGTCGTCGATGCCGGCCACCACCTCGCAGCGGTAGAGCCCCGCGTCGCTGGCACGGGCCGCCCGCAGCTGCAGCGTGGCGTTGGAGCGGTCACGGCCGTAGCCGGGCAGCGCCACTCGGCCCTCGTAGGCTTTGACCACCTTCACCGCGTTCTCCTTGGCCACCAGGATGGGCACGTCCTCCCGCTGGCCGGTGGCCGAGCGCACCTTGCTCCATTTGACGCGGGGAGGCTCCGGGGGCTCGTTGGGCCCCAGGGAGGCGGAGGGGTGCAGGAGGAAGAGGCAGGGCAGCGTCACGGGCTCGCCCAGCCCCACGCGAACCGCCTGGTGCTGCACCCTGGTGATGTGGATCACCTTCCCCTCGTCCTGCGAGCCTGCGGGGACAGCGGCTCGGCTGCCACGGGGAGTTTGGTCACGGTGCGGAGGGTTTGGGGGCATGGCGGGGTGTGAGGGGCTCCGCTCAGGGCACCCCTGAACCCCCCCAGGGGGAGCAGGAAGCGGGAGGATGGATTGGGATAAAGTTCAACTGCCCTATCGAGCTGCTGCAGCCCGACCGTGACCCCTCTGGGGCTGAACCCCCAACACAAATGGGATCCACGCCCCTCCCCAGGATGCTGCCCAGCCCCCCCGGGATGTCCCCAGGCTGTGGCCACAGATCTGCACCCGTGGGTGCCACACCAGCACGCCTGGCCCTGCCCGCAGAGGGGGACCCAAAGACGCCACCGACCCCGGTGGCACCGGCGGAAAAGCAACCCCCGTGCTGGGATAAAGCGTGGCAGGAGCGTGACCACCCTCTCCTCCTCCTCCTCCTCCTCCTCCTTCTCCTCCTCCTCCTC